GGGGGGAGGGAGACCTTTGGTTAGGAATAAATAATCAGGTGAAAAGTGACCTGAAGATCTGGAGTGTTGTGCTAGGTACCAAAAGCTCTAGAACACTGAAAGAGGAACAAGTTTCATGAGAAAAGTTTAGTTTTTRACATTATTTCCTTAAGCAAACAATCTGAATATTTAGTGTATTCCAAGTTCTGGGCTAATACCAGGGACAACAAAAATATACCAAGACAAGTCTCTGACTCTTAGGATTCTTCAATTTAGTCGAAGAAACAGATACAGAAGCAAATAACTATATAAAAGGAGATAAGGTAGAGATAGGGTAMAAAGGTAAGGCATCTAACTAAGGAAATAAAGAGAAGTATTAGGAAACTTTTATAAAGCAAATTAGGGTGGGGTCTAAGAGAGCCACCAAGGCATGGAGAAAAAAAAATATGACTTATACAGCAAATTATGAGAAGTTTTGAATGTTGCCTTATTTATTCATTCAATGGATATTTATTGAATGTATAATCTGTCAGGTACTGTTCCTGGCCCTAGAGAGGTTTCAGTGAACAAAGTAAAAGATCCCTATCTTCATGGAGTTTACATACTGGGRTAGGAGAGCCAGGGAGACAAACACAATAAATTAATCATGTAATATTCTAGGAAGTGATAAGTGCTGTGGAATAAGAGAAAATAAAGCTGGGTAAGGGAGGATACTTGGGTGGGTGGAGGGGAAGGAAGTTTGAAAAGGAAGTTTGCCATAATAAGTTAGTCCTTGTTGAGATGACATCAGAGAGTTGAGGGAGTTATGTGGAGAAGAGTGTTTTAAGTCGGAGGAAAATCCAATAATGGTCCTATGGCAGAAATGTACCTAAGGGGTCAATATTGAGCAAGGTAACAAGTGTACCTTGAGTGGAGTGAAAGGAACACAGTGGAGATGAGAAGGTTTTGAGTAAAGGAGTATATATTTGACTCATTATTTTTTTTCAAATATACTAACAATAAATAGTTTGATGGGAAGAGACGGGTGGGGGGGTTGATGGAGGGTAAAGGTAGAATCAAGAAGGCCATTTAAAGCTTGTTGTGGTATTCTGCACAAGAGATGATGCCACTTGGTGGCTGGTGGTAGCCGAGTAAGTAATAAGAAGTTGTCACATTTGAGTTGGGCGAGGTGGCACACGCCTGTAATCCCAGCAATTCAAGAGGCTGAGGCAGGAGGATTGAGAGTTTAAAGCCAGTCTCAGCAACTTAGAGAGGCTCTAAGCAACTCAGCGAGACCCTGTCTCAAAATAAAAAAATATTTTAAAAAGGGTTCAGTAATTAAGCACCACTGGGTTTAATCCCCAGTGCAAAAAGAAAAAAAAAAAGTAGTCACATTTGAAATATACAAGTTGAGTATCCTTTATCCAAAATGCTCAGGACTAGAAGAGTTTCATACTTTCATATTATTTATATGTAATGAGATATCTCGGGGAAGGGACCCAAGACAAAATTCATTTGTGTTTCGTGTACCTTATGTACATAGCCTGAAGATAATTTTGTATAAAAATTATTAAAAATTTTGTTCATGAAAACAAGTCTGTGCACTCCTTCAGAGATCAGTTGTGGAATTTTCTACTTAAAT